CTAGTGCTGGGGGAGAAAAGTTAAAGTAAAACACATGCTTACAACAACCATGCCATGAGTCAAATATGTTTCCAAAAAGCTAAAGATTAAACATTATAAAAAATCAATTTTATTCAATACATTCCAAATATGGGCTTTTAAATTTTTAACTGTGGAATTCTGCTTCAATTCAAATAGCAGTTAGGTAAATCCATCAGAAGAGGCTAATCATAAATTAAATCTAGGTAATATGTACCTACATAAGATGTTTCAATTGCCATTACCAGAACGGTAGCTATCAAAAACAAATAATCTTAACATAATCGTACTACGATCAGAAGTCAGAGTTAAACATAACTTCCTACCACCATACCATTAGGAAAGGGAAAGCGTTGTGTTGCAAGAACATGGATTCCAACTAGTATTTACATTTCAGAAGCTCTCTAACATTGTCCTTGGCTTTTACTAATCATAAAAGAAGGTGGCTTCTAGGGGAAAAGAACACATACGTCACTTGCTAATCTTTATTAAGCTCAGTCCCATCACTCAGACACTGTCATTTCCTTCCATTAACAAGGACAACATTAAACTCAGTGCTGTACCTAGGTTTCATTTGTGCTTTACAATTGTTTTTCTTGAACTCTTACATTTTTGTGACATTCCTTAAGCAAATTAATCAAGATGTTGCATTCTTCTGTGTGAAGGTGTGGAGATAAGTCTGGATGCATCTTCAAGAGGTGACAGATCACAGCAGTGCAACCTGGAATACAACAACATCTTGAACACACACGAATACATTTGTAGGTGCCATCCAAAAATATTTTTAGTAAGAACTTGCAATGACCTCTCACAGAAGAGAATATTAACATTAACTAGCTGTGTGAACTTAGGCAAATTATTAAACTTGAGCTTAAGCTTCCTTATGCAATAATTCAGCAGTTTTGCAGTGTTTATTAATCCTGCCAATCCAGAAGGGAATAAAGAGATTCCTCCAGAAAGCTCCTTCTGGAAATAAGGGCTCAAGCAGAACCAGCTCGCCTATGTTAACACGCTTGGCCTCATGTATTTCCCTCACATTCCCGAGACTAATCACTACTCATCCTGTTCAGATGAAATTCTACCAATTAAGAGAAATGCATGAATTCTTTTAAAATGTATATTCCTCTGAGAGGATTAAGGGGGTATTAGCCAGTCTCGCATTAGTATGAATTAATACCAAATGATTTCAACATTTGGCAGTGAAACCCTAAACAATAAAATGAAGCAAGAAGCAGATGTGCAATTGTTTTTT